TCTCCTATTTTAAATGTATAGTTCGACAAATTGAGCATTTTTACGGTGTTGGGCATTTTGAGATGAGGCATTTTGGTGGCGGGACATCTTGGGGTGCGACGTTTTGGGGCTGAGACATTATGGGGGTGGGCCATTTTCTGGCGAAACCAATAAACACAAAAATTTTTTCACAAAATTTGTAATTTTTACAAATTTTTTCCTAAATTTTCACTTTTTGGCAGGATTTTAGGCAATTTTCGCAATATTTTCCCCAAAAACCTCAAAATATGCAGTAAAATATGCATTATGCAACAAAGTCCGGAATATGCAAAAATATGCATTATATGCAAATAGAAACCCCCTCTAAAGTTTTCAAAACTTGCGGAAACAGTGTTTTTTGTGCATAACACATCATGAAAAGTTTGCAAAAAAAATATGCATTTGCATAAAAATCCGGGCTCTACTCATTATACATATTTAATTACTCAAACGGCTTTTTTCAATATTTCTTGAATGGGAAAGTCTTGATCTAATTATTAAAAATTATGTTTGCTTGAGAAAATTTTGATCTTGATTATAATTATCTAGGAAATGTTTAAAATTATCCTGTTTTAGATAAATTAAATATTTTAGAATATTAATGAAAAACTTAAAATAATCATGATAAAAATACACAAAAATTATTTTAAGAACTCCATTTTACAAATAAATTTGAGTCCTAAGTTGTCAAGAAGAAATTGTTAACTTAAAAGAAGAGAAATTGTTAACAAATATTTTTGGGTAACAAAACTAATTTTAATAATCATATTTTTGCAAAAATAAATTTAAAGGTGTTTTGCTGTGAAAGATTGTAAAGCCATAGAAATTTCTTTCAAGCCTAACAAATATAGCAAAGAGGAAAACAATCAGTTTAGAAGATTGTTTTAAAAAATTTAAAATAATCAAGATTAAAATACTCAAAATTTTATCATTTTAAAAATTCCATCTTGACACATAAATTTGAATTAATGCCAAGTTGTGGGCAATAGAAACTCCTTTTCTCGACATTACATTTATGTTTAGTTGTATGTTTTCTGTTCGAGGTCCTTTTATTGGTTTTGAAAGGTAAAGAATGCCTTGAAAAGAGTTAAGTTGTTAAAAAATATTTTCTGAAAACAAATTTAATTTTAATAAAATCAAGTCTGTAAATTGATAATGGTTTGACTGAATGACTGACCCCCTTTTCCCTAATTCCATGATCAGTTTGAGCATTTTTGCTTGAAATAATATACATATACATATATCATTAAAAAGAGCTCTTCGAGCTAGAACTGATCCAGACTGAACTGAGGTGCTCCGAAAAAAATATTTGTTTTCACATTGTTATTATTTCATTACTCTCCCTTTCATTAGAGCATAATAAATATAGCAGAAAATAAAAAATGAGCGGGCAGGGTGTCAACGGGACATTTTCCTTGGAGGAGGAATACTTGGTGGATCGAAGTCAGCCAAACTATTACACTTAAATTTACGTCCGAAGAAACTTAGGTAAATAAACTTAGGGTTGTAAAAAGCTTTTTAATAATTTAAGTTTGTAAAAATAAACATAGGTTTATTAAACTTACCTGAATTTTAATAAAATTTGTCTTTAAAAATGCTTACCAACATTTCCTTGTTGTTCAACAAAAAAATCTTTGGCATTTTCTCCATTAATTATATATTCAATATTAAATACTATATTATTTATTTTTGTTGTTATTCGAGATATCTATTAAATCATTTGATAATTTTTTCATTTATTTATTACCTCAATCGGCTTTTTCAAAAATTTCATTGACGGGACAGTTCTAAATTGGTAGAGAATTTCCCTTGTATAATTGCTAAGGCAGATAGCATCGTTGGGATGACAATTTTTTATACAAGAATAGCCATCTTCTACTTGACTTAAATTATTTTTTGAATTAATTCTAAAATTTTTATCTACTCAACCTTCCCAAAGTTTAGTTGAGACTTTTGGAGTTTATTAGGAAACTTAAGTTTACTATATTTAAAATAAAAAATTAGTATGTATTAATAACACACGCAAATATTTGAAACAGCACAAAAAACAAAGAAATGTTAACTAAACTTAAAATATTAAGATAAACGAGATCTGACATTTTTCCAACTTTTCTTCTAATATTCAAAGTATGCGAATTCTGTGCAAACGGCTATGTTGTGTTTGGGGACGATATTGTGAAACGAAAACCTAAATTAATTTTTTTAATTAATTTAAATTTTAAAATTAAACAAATTACGGTCGAAACTCATTTTTAGATAACCTTGATACTAGATACACCTCCATTACGGTACTTTTTTTAAAAATTGTAAATGGATACTAGGTAAAAGGAACAACCTAAGTGATACACCTTATGTAAGGAAACCCTACTTATAAGTAGAGCGTGTCATTTTAGGTCCAAAAAACCGTGAAATAGGATCCTATTTAGGTCCAAAAAAATTTGAAAATAGGTCCTAAAAAAGTTGAAAAAGGTCACGCTGTTGGACGTGACCTTTTCACGCTGTTGGACGCTGTTGGACTATGCCAAATTTGTCAAAAATGGCGATTTTTCCAAAAAACCTAAAATAGGTCCAAAAAAGGTCGAAATAGGCTCGAAATAGGTTTTAGGTCCGAAAAGGCCGAATTAGGTTTTTTAGGCTCTAGTAACTCAAAAAGTACGCAACCTCCCGCGCTAAAACAGTGTTTTTTCGACTTATCTCATCATGGGCTGATCGCAAAAAAAATAGGTAAAAACCTAAAATGACACGCTCTACTTATAAGTTAGGGTTTAGGCTTCAATAGCGTATCTAAAAATGAGGTCTGACTTATTTTAATCCAAATTATTTATTTTTAAATATTAAGAAAAGGTTTGTCTACAATAGTGATGGTCGGGAGTTAAAAAAACCCGAGAGTCGAGAGTCGAGACCGAGACCGGGAATCGACCCCGAGACCGAGTCCCGGGTCGAGACCGAGAGTCGAGACCAAGAGATTAGGAGGAATCCTTCAGAATCCTCAGATATCTCTCTTAATATTTTTTAATCCCTTTCTCAGTCTCACATGTCCCACGGGACATGTGACACAACAAACCACACAACAAACGTTGCAAGGCTTTGAAGCCATAAATCCTCCTATTTCGTTTATTTTCTGCGCCGCAGGCGAAAATTTTGAGAATTTTGGAGGTCCTTAAGTCAGATTTCTTCCATTTTTTGTGCCGCAGGCGAAAATTTTGAAAAATTTGGGAGGCCAATAGCCAGATTTCTTTTTTTTACCGCCGGAGGCGAAAACGCTGCGCCGCAGGAGGAAATTTTGAAAAATTCATGATTAAATTAAAATTTTTAATGTTTTTTCAAGTTTAAAATATTAGGAAAAAATAAATTTAAATTTTTAAAATCAAAATCAAAGTTTAAAAACGTTTATTTCCGAAAAGAAAAATTTTAACAACGTCATTTCCGCCTTAGGATTCGAACCCAGCATTTAAGAAATCTTTAAGTGAGTGAAGTCGGTCAACTTAACCACTCAACCATCGACCATCAAAAGCAAATGGGAGAAATTATAAATATATTCCTTTCCCCTTTCCTTCAAAAAGTTCAAAAAATTTCCGTCATTAGGGGTGTAAATTTAGTCTCGTTTTCCGAGACTAAAACACCGAGACCGAGACCGAGAGCTCAAAAAACCCGGGAAATTTCCCGACTCGGGAACCGAGACCGGGAATCCCGACCATCACTAGTCTACAAGCAAATTAGCAACATATTTCCCATTAAATTGCCCATTAGTTGTTAACCGAAGGGTTAATTCTAAATGAACTTCTTGAGGGCCATCCAACGAATCTCTTAATGCAATTATTGCAGAATTGTGATCCTCTCCTTTAAATATATTGAAAACAATGAAAATTAAAAAACTCCAAAGCAAACCCTTTTGAAGCAAAAAATTTGCTCGTATTGCGGGTGTGACTGAATCAGAGCCTAAAATATATGTCGGCGGTAAATTTCAATTTTAGGAAAATTTCAATTTTTCCGGAAAATTTCAAATTTTCCGGAAAAATTCAAATTTTCCGACGATTTAGGAAAATTTCAGTTATTAAATTAATTTAATAGTCTCTCTAACACTATTTCGTTTGTTTTTCGTTTTTGAGTATGTTTTTCTTTTTTGTTTTATGTTTTGTTTTTTGGTTTGTTTGACTTTTTTTAAAATATTTTCGTTTATTTTTCTTAATTTTGTTTTTAGTTGTTTTTTTTGTGCTACTACTGAATGGTTAGGTTGGCATTTAATGCTGAAAATCGTTAAAAGGAATAGGTTTATGGTATTAGTGTAGAACCCAGCGACCGTTGACTCCCGCGAGACGCGTGCCGCAAAACCCCGCGCGAAGCGCGGGGTTTTGCACAAGCGTCTCGCCGACTCCCCATACGTTTACGTTGTTTGTTTTCGTGTCGTAACTTTATCCAAACTTATCCATGGTATCTTGTCTAAATCAAGAAATTTATAAATAACCTTGAAAAAAACAAAAACAAGCATAGAAAACACAAAAAACACCAAAAAACATAAAACTAGCCCAGACTCAACTGACAACTTTATTAATAACTGAAATTTTCCTAAATCGTCGGAAAATTTGAATTTTTCCGGAAAATTTGAAATTTTCCGGAAAAATTGAAATTTTCCTAAAATTGAAATTTTCCGCCGACATATATAATTTAAAAAGAATGGTTCTAACTTCTTTCGGATGACATATTTTTCAAATTGAGTGGCATAAAGACATGATATTAAGTATTAAATTCAGATTAGGATTTGAAAAGAACGACAAACATTTTAAAGTAAAACGGCACTAGCCATCCCAGAAAATAATAAAGTATTGGATGGGATGGATGGGACTTGATCCTGAGAGCTCTCCGACCCACCACCTACATTTTTAGGCTTAATAAGACGCCTATTAAAGAGTTTTATAGGAAGACTTTTAAAAGAGAAGAGTCCAAGAGAACTAGAACGTTGAAAGAATCATCTTAAAAATAAATTAAAGTCCACCTTGTTTGGCAGTAACCAAACGAAGTTCAAATTGCATGGAGGAATCTTGATTGGGAGGGCCCTATAGAGAAATAAAAAATTTTTTTAAATAAAAAAAATTATTCTGAACCTTCATAGAGAAAAGTGTCACAGAAGTTCTGTGAAGAGAAATATTCACTTGCTTTTGGAAAAAAATTAGAAAAAAATCTCTCAAAAAATAAATACTTTAGGTATAGCAATATGTTGCCATGAGATATGTATAGGCAATTTTTTGCATCTTTCCATAAACATATTTTCGCAGTGTCCTGGTTTTTTCAGGCAACGACTTTTCATTTAAATTTTATAAATAAATGAGCAAAAATGTTAAAAATTGACGAAAATGTTTTATAAGCTAATTACATTAATTTAAGAATTAACAGGAAAAGCAAAAATAAATTAGTAGGTTAGTAACATTAAGTAAAAACCACGCCTGTTACTTTATCCAAAATATGGAGATCTCATCTTGTAGGAGACAGTGTTAGGAAATTTAAAATTTGCTTGTATTCGTACTCGAAATTACAAGTTCGACTATGAAACACTAATTAGGGGTAGAGTTCTCATATTGAGAGGGAAACGCAAGGGAAATAGTGCCGTTTAAGGCTGGCTCATTTTTTCATATATTCTTGGCTTTGTTGGTTACTATTGAGATTTTATAATATTGTCGTTCGGGGTGGAGAAGGGTGCATTAAACGAGATTAAAATTCTCCAAGGAACTTTTAAGTTAAAAACTATGCATTTTACTTTTTAAAAGTCTTGTCAGGGATATAATTACGTGGACATCAATCCGTTCACATTTAAAGCTGCCCAATAAATTAATGCAAATTTGGTCAATATTACACAGATTTGAGTTTTCTGAGCATTCATCAATATCTTTAAATAGATTTAGATTGCTAAATAATTAGATTACTAAAGAGGAGGAGACTTATCAATTCCTTTTAAGTCCGCAAAATAAAGAATAGTCCGCAAAAAAGTTGCGGACTATCCGATCTTCAATATTAATGCCCAACGATTCAAAAATTTTTTTATTTACCTTTACAAGTAATTCCATCAGACATGACTTGATAACCTTCTGGACATGTACAAAGAAACGACCCTGGAGTATTTATACATTTGCCCATACATAATTCATTTCCTATAAATGTTAATTATTTTAAATACATAAAATATCAAGTCCGCAAATGTTTGTCCGCAAAAATATTTTTGAATTTTTCGTCAGCAATATTTTTAAAATACAAAATTTACCCACCCGACTTGGCCCAAATTTTGCATTCATCAATATCTTCACATGTGGCTTCGTCTATTCCCAATTGATACCCTAAAAATATTTTCTCTGGTCTTAAGTATTTCAGGAAATTATCACCTCGATCGCAAATGCATTGATAAGAGCCTGGTGAGTTAATGCATTTTTGTTGACATTTGGCTATACCCAACTCACATTCGTTTATATCTTAAATTTAAATAAATATCCGCAAAAAGTTCGAAAAGTATGTCCGCAAAAACTGTCCGCAAATTTCTATTAATTCAATTAATTTCCCCTACCATCACAACTTCTATTATCTGCAGCTAAACTAAATCCAGGTTTGCATATACATTGATAAGAGCCAATAGAATTAACACAATCGGCTTGTAAGGAGCAGGCATGCCCAGAAAATTTAATGCATTCGTCAATGTCTTCGCAACGCCTTAATGGGGAAGAGTGTTTTTTAAAGTTTAACATGGGTGCAGGCAATTTCCAAATGTTTTTACATTGTATATTCATTAAATTCAAAGCCTGTAGCACACTTGCAACGATACATTCCTGGAAGATTAATGCAATCAGCAATGGATGTGCAAGTATGTGTTCCACGTTGGCACTCATCAATATCTTCACAAATAGATTAACAATAGAATTTCAAAGGACAAACCAAGACAAAATCCACTCTCTCTGTCCATATAATATCCATTAGAACAAACATTCCCTTGCTCTTGACAACGAAACGAGCCTGGTGTATTTACACCTTTTAAGTAATAAAAAAATGAATATGAATAAATTTTCCCTTTACCAATGATGCATGAAAAGTTTCATTTTGTGATTGTCTCGAGAAAAGAGAAAGGAACGTGAATTTTTCTTTACGTTTCTTAAGGCAAAGGAAAGGAAACGAAATGATTCATGCATCTTTTGAATGGTTTCGGGTGGTTCCAGTTCGGGTATAAGGAACAAACTCCACTCTCTGCTTCCATGGTTCCTTCAATTCCACGTTTTAACAGTTCTGAGGTTCTTGGGAACTTTTAGCACCGGATATCGTTTTCAGGTAACAGCCATAAACCGAAATAACATTTTAACTCACATTCCTCATAAATAGGACAAGCAATAGCCTTTTCCCTACATTCATCAACATCCTCACAACGTCCATCTCTGGGCCTATATCCAGGCGGACAATTTACTGACTACAAAAAAAATATTTAAATTTTTATTTTTCCAAAAAATACTTTGCATTCCCCAGTTCCAGGGTCCAAAACTTGATTATCTTCACAACGCTTAGGTACACAACGAAAGCTTCCCTGAGTATTTTTACATTGATACATAGGTCCACAATCGTGTGCTCCAAGTGTGCATTCATCCACATCTATATATAAAGTTATGGTTTTATTGAGAGAATTTTTTCGAACTTAAAGTAAAGTCTACAAATTAATACTAATTATTCCCTAATAAACCCTCAAAGCTTTCAAAACGCTGTCGCAAATTTAGGTTAAAGAGGATTCATATTTACTCTCATATCTTGATCTATTAGTGAGCGAGATTTTTGAAAAACTTCTTCCTGGGTTCCGGGTTTGATTTATTGACTGGGCCGGATCCTGGGCCTGTAGTCCAGGAAAAACCCAGGCCCAAGAAAACTCCAGGAAGGTCAAAAAATGCCTGGGCCTGGACTCTGGGTATAGGAAAAACCCAGGCCTGGTCCAGACCCATCTCGATCTCTAGGATTTATAGCCCAATTTTGTTAATTTCCAATGTTCTAATAAAGCGGCCACTTTTTTGAATTCCCTCGTGATACTTAGTTTATGAGCTATGGGAAGCTATTTAGGGTTATTTAGAGGGGTAGAAATCTATTATTTTATTAATTCGAGTAGATTTTCTTCGAAATTATCCAAAAATACTTAGTTTATGAGATATGGGAAGCTATTTAGGATTATTTAGAGGGGTAGGAATCTATTATTTTATTAATTCGGGTAGATTTTCTTCGAAATTATCCAAAAATACTTAGTTTATGAGCTATGGGAAGCTATTTAGGGTTATTTAGAGGGGTAGAAATCTATTATTTTATTAATTCGAGTAGATTTTCTTCGAAATTATCCAAAAATACTTAGTTTATGAGCTATGGGAAGCTATTTAGGGTTATTTAGAGGGGTAGAAATCTATTATTTTATTAATTCGAGTAGATTTTCTTCGAAATTATCCAAAAATACTTAGTTTATGAGATATGGGAAGCTATTTAGGGTTATTTAGAGGGGTAGAAATCTATTATTTTATTAATTCGAGTAGATTTTCTTCGAAATTATCCAAAAATACTTAGTTTATGAGATATGGGAAGCTATTTAGGATTATTTAGAGGGGTAGGAATCTATTATTTTATTAATTCGGGTAGATTTTCTTCGAAATTATCCAAAAATACTTAGTTTATGAGCTATGGGAAGCTATTTAGGGTTATTTAGAGGGGTAGAAATCTATTATTTTATTAATTCGAGTAGATTTTCTTCGAAATTATCCAAAAATACTTAGTTTATGAGCTATGGGAAGCTATTTAGGGTTATTTAGAGGGGTAGAAATCTATTATTTTATTAATTCGAGTAGATTTTCTTCGAAATTATCCAAAAATACTTAGTTTATGAGATATGGGAAGCTATTTAGGATTATTTAGAGGGGTAGGAATCTATTATTTTATTAATTCGGGTAGATTTTCTTCGAAATTATCCAAAAATACTTAGTTTATGAGCTATGGGAAGCTATTTAGGGTTATTTAGAGGGGTAGAAATCTATTATTTTATTAATTCGAGTAGATTTTCTTCGAAATTATCCAAAAATACTTAGTTTATGAGCTATGGGAAGCTATTTAGGGTTATTTAGAGGGGTAGAAATCTATTATTTTATTAATTCGAGTAGATTTTCTTCGAAATTATCCAAAAATACTTAGTTTATGAGATATGGGAAGCTATTTAGGGTTATTTAGAGGGGTAGAAATCTATTATTTTATTAATTCGAGTAGATTTTCTTCGAAATTATCCAAAAATACTTAGTTTATGAGATATGGGAAGCTATTTAGGATTATTTAGAGGGGTAGGAATCTATTATTTTATTAATTCGGGTAGATTTTCTTCGAAATTATCCAAAAATACTTAGTTTATGAGCTATGGGAAGCTATTTAGGGTTATTTAGAGGGGTAGAAATCTATTATTTTATTAATTCGAGTAGATTTTCTTCGAAATTATCCAAAAATACTTAGTTTATGAGCTATGGGAAGCTATTTAGGGTTATTTAGAGGGGTAGAAATCTATTATTTTATTAATTCGAGTAGATTTTCTTCGAAATTATCCAAAAATACTTAGTTTATGAGATATGGGAAGCTATTTAGGATTATTTAGAGGGGTAGGAATCTATTATTTTATTAATTCGGGTAGATTTTCTTCGAAATTATCCAAAAATACTTAGTTTATGAGCTATGGGAAGCTATTTAGGGTTATTTAGAGGGGTAGAAATCTATTATTTTATTAATTCGAGTAGATTTTCTTCGAAATTATCCAAAAATACTTAGTTTATGAGCTATGGGAAGCTATTTAGGGTTATTTAGAGGGGTAGAAATCTATTATTTTATTAATTCGAGTAGATTTTCTTCGAAATTATCCAAAAATACTTAGTTTATGAGATATGGGAAGCTATTTAGGATTATTTAGAGGGGTAGGAATCTATTATTTTATTAATTCGGGTAGATTTTCTTCGAAATTATCCAAAAATACTTAGTTTATGAGCTATGGGAAGCTATTTAGGGTTATTTAGAGGGGTAGAAATCTATTATTTTATTAATTCGAGTAGATTTTCTTCGAAATTATCCAAAAATACTTAGTTTATGAGCTATGGGAAGCTATTTAGGGTTATTTAGAGGGGTAGAAATCTATTATTTTATTAATTCGAGTAGATTTTCTTCGAAATTATCCAAAAATACTTAGTTTATGAGATATGGGAAGCTATTTAGGATTATTTAGAGGGGTAGGAATCTATTATTTTATTAATTCGGGTAGATTTTCTTCGAAATTATCCAAAAATACTTAGTTTATGAGCTATGGGAAGCTATTTAGGGTTATTTAGAGGGGTAGAAATCTATTATTTTATTAATTCGAGTAGATTTTCTTCGAAATTATCCAAAAATACTTAGTTTATGAGCTATGGGAAGCTATTTAGGGTTATTTAGAGGGGTAGAAATCTATTATTTTATTAATTCGGGTAGATTTTCTTCGAAATTATCCAAAAATACTTAGTTTATGAGCTATGGGAAGCTATTTAGGGTTATTTAGAGGGGTAGAAATCTATTATTTTATTAATTCGAGTAGATTTTCTTCGAAATTATCCAAAAATACTTAGTTTATGAGATATGGGAAGCTATTTAGGATTATTTAGAGGGGTAGGAATCTATTATTTTATTAATTCGGGTAGATTTTCTTCGAAATTATCCAAAAATACTTAGTTTATGAGCTATGGGAAGCTATTTAGGGTTATTTAGAGGGGTAGAAATCTATTATTTTATTAATTCGAGTAGATTTTCTTCGAAATTATCCAAAAATACTTAGTTTATGAGCTATGGGAAGCTATTTAGGGTTATTTAGAGGGGTAGAAATCTATTATTTTATTAATTCGAGTAGATTTTCTTCGAAATTATCCAAAAATACTTAGTTTATGAGATATGGGAAGCTATTTAGGATTATTTAGAGGGGTAGGAATCTATTATTTTATTAATTCGGGTAGATTTTCTTCGAAATTATCCAAAAATACTTAGTTTATGAGCTATGGGAAGCTATTTAGGGTTATTTAGAGGGGTAGAAATCTATTATTTTATTAATTCGAGTAGATTTTCTTCGAAATTATCCAAAAATACTTAGTTTATGAGCTATGGGAAGCTATTTAGGGTTATTTAGAGGGGTAGAAATCTATTATTTTATTAATTCGGGTAGATTTTCTTCGAAATTATCCAAAAATACTTAGTTTATGAGCTATGGGAAGCTATTTAGGGTTATTTAGAGGGGTAGAAATCTATTATTTTATTAATTCGAGTAGATTTTCTTCGAAATTATCCAAAAATACTTAGTTTATGAGCTATGGGAAGCTATTTAGGGTTATTTAGAGGGGTAGAAATCTATTATTTTATTAATTCGAGTAGATTTTCTTCGAAATTATCCAAAAATACTTAGTTTATGAGCTATGGGAAGCTATTTAGGGTTATTTATAGGGGTAGAAATCTATTATTTTATTAATTCGAGTAGATTTTCTTCGAAATTATCCAAAAATACTTAGTTTATGAGCTATGGGAAGCTATTTAGGGTTATTTAGAGGGGTAGAAATCTATTATTTTATTAATTCGGGTAGATTTTCTTCGAAATTATCCAAAAATACTTAGTTTATGAGCTATGGGAAGCTATTTAGGGTTATTTAGAGGGGTAGAAATCTATTATTTTATTAATTCGAGTAGATTTTCTTCGAAATTATCCAAAAATACTTAGTTTATGAGATATGGGAAGCTATTTAGGGTTATTTAGAGGGGTAGAAATCTATTAATTTATTAATTCGAGTAGATTTTCTTCGAAATTATCCAAAAATACTTAGTTTATGAGATATGGGAAGCTATTTAGGGTTATTTAGAGGGGTAGAAATCTATTATTTTATTAATTCGAGTAGATTTTCTTCGAAATTATCCAAAAATACTTAGTTTATGAGATATGGGAAGCTATTTAGGATTATTTAGAGGGGTAGGAATCTATTATTTTATTAATTCGGGTAGATTTTCTTCGAAATTATCCAAAAATACTTAGTTTATGAGCTATGGGAAGCTATTTAGGGTTATTTAGAGGGGTAGAAATCTATTATTTTATTAATTCGAGTAGATTTTCTTCGAAATTATCCAAAAATACTTAGTTTATGAGCTATGGGAAGCTATTTAGGGTTATTTAGAGGGGTAGAAATCTATTATTTTATTAATTCGAGTAGATTTTCTTCGAAATTATCCAAAAATACTTAGTTTATGAGATATGGGAAGCTATTTAGGGTTATTTAGAGGGGTAGAAATCTATTATTTTATTAATTCGAGTAGATTTTCTTCGAAATTATCCAAAAATACTTAGTTTATGAGCTATGGGAAGCTATTTAGGGTTATTTAGAGGGGTAGAAATCTATTATTTTATTAATTCGAGTAGATTTTCTTCGAAATTATCCAAAAATACTTAGTTTATGAGATATGGGAAGCTATTTAGGATTATTTAGAGGGGTAGGAATCTATTATTTTATTAATTCGGGTAGATTTTCTTCGAAATTATCCAAAAATACT